GAGAGAGAGAGACAGAGAGAGACAGAGAGAGAGAGACAGAGACAGAGACAGAGACAGAGACAGAGACAGAGAGAGACAGAGCGACAGAGAGAGAGACAGACAGACAGACGGAGAGAGACAGAGAAGTGATTCCTGGTTCCTAGTCATACAGATGATGTAGAAATCGTCTGCCTATTCTATAATGTCCGAGAGTCAAATTCAGAGAGACTATAAGAGATCATTCCTCTCTTACTCTGGAAGAAAATATATTAAATACTTGTTATAGACTGATTTGAAATGTATCGTGTTTCCTGGTTTATTAAACTCATTTAAATGTATGACAGCGCTCTTGAGAAGATGCACAATTCATTTCTCTCTGTGCATTTCCAACATTGTGCTGCTGTCGTTTTTAACGCGAGACAATCACGTAAAAGTGTCAGCAAGAGACCTGAAGAACAAGATGATTCCCTAAAATGTTGAACTGTTCCTTTAACTGTAACCTGCTGCTGAGGTGAGAGGCCCTCCCTCCTCTGCTCTCCTTTCAAAATAAAAGCACAAACGGAGACGAAACCCACCAGTTTCTCTCCCGACAGGACCTCCAGCAGTTTGATGAGCATGCGACCGTCCCTCAGGTCCATGTAGAGGTCGGTGATCCGACAGGAGACTCTGGACAGGTGAGAGTTCACCCACTTAACGAAGGTCTTCTTCTGCACCGCCTCACGCTCATCTGGACCAGAGACACGGACAGAGAGAGCAGTGGTCAGGGGAAAGGTTGTAACACAATGTAAAACATGATGACTATGGCAAACGTTAAGACAACCGAGGAAGCGCGTGAGGGGGAAAATGAAAGCTCTGTGAAAAGGTAGTAAGAAGACGTGGAGATATTTTGTGAAAATCTTGTTTCCAACAGGCAGAGCAGCCGGTTTGAGTCCCGCAGGTGTGTTTGGATGTGTACGTGTTTCCTGTCAGTTTTATCCCATCGGCTCATTGTTCTTGGAAAGCTTGTGAGATTTTGTGTGTATGGGAGAGGTTTCCTGTATCTGGCAAAGCAGACTAAATCTAAATCACTGCTGTAAATATTCTCTCACTCACACACACACACACACACACGGCAGTCTGACATCGGACACCTGCTGTCTGCAACACAACTTAGTTTGTATCCCACGGGCCTGACGGTTTTTGTTACTGCTCACACACACAGTTGCAGCATCTCTCTCGAGTGTGTGTGTGTGTGTGTGTGTGTGTGTGTGTGTGTGTGTGTGTGTGTGTGTGTGTGTGTGTGTGTGTGCAGTATATCAGAGTGTTTCCTTGGCTGAACTCTGGCTCAGATGCCAAAGTCAAAGGAGAAAGTTGCACAAGGAAGAGAGGGTGTGACACACACACACACACATTTTTACACTAGTGATTTTCCCCCCAAAACAGATTTACAGAAAGGTTGCAGCAGTTTCAGTTTCTCCTCCGCGAACATTTCAAGCGTGCAGCAGTGAAGACGGAGGTCAAAGGTCACAGCAGGCTGATGACACAAGCCCTGAAACCCGTTTCAATCTTTAAAGTTTCTAATCTGTAAACTTTTAACTTATTTCTCTCTGTTTCCAGCTTGTCCTCTAGTTAATGAGTCTGACACAAGATATCCGCTGGTACAGAATATCTTGTACCCAGATTTAACATCTGTGGACCTCAGTGGAATCATTTTTAGGCAAAGGTAAGACGAGAGCAGCGACGCCGTAGAAGCCTGAATGAATGCAACAACTGGTGGAACCACTGGATGTACACTAAGAATCCGTATTTAACGTGGAGAGGCCTCGTCATCCTCTGGTTTCTCTGATGATTCAGCAAAGATGTAGCTTCCATCCGGCTGTTGATGTTGTTACGATACACTAACACATTGTGTATTTATTATAATTTACTTTATTATAATACGACTCTTACAAAGTGATTTAATAGCATAAATCCTACAATGTGCTTGTGAGTTATTAGTCATGTTCTCATCGTCTTTTCATGCTCACAAAGCCTCATTTTTCCAGCAAATGACTCAAACTAAACCCAACTCGCCACCAATGTCAAACTAAACAAACGAGCACATCTCGACGCAGAAGAAGGACATTTTCTCCGCAACAGCCAGGTCAGAGTGCATGAACTGAAAATGAGACTTGAATAAAGTCAGTTTGACCTCTGGAAGGAAACTGGACTCACACACACAAACACAAGTGATAAGATCCCCCGACTGCTTCACACACGCAAACAAACATTCATACAGATCCATGACCTTCAGAGAGTGTGTGTGTGTGTGTGTGTGTGTGTTAGCTTGGAGCGGGACAATAGCTTCAGTGTTCACCGGCATTCAGCAGCTTTATCACTCAGAACAAACAGTGTGGAGGATTTCTCATATCTAACTGGAGCCGATAGAAATATGTGGAGACGACGTCACGATCCACCGGAGCCAGAAACACTAAACATGTTACAGTTAACAGTCTGATATCCCTGACACACACGATTCAGAATGAGGTTCTTCATGGCTGCAGTGTAATCCTAGAAAAATATATCACTTTTTAAGTAGAAATTATGATTCAAAAGCAGGACTGTTAATATGTCACATGTGCAGTCAGCTAAATGTAGCGATCAGTCCAATGTTTATTTTTGTTTTTTGGGACTCTAAACTGTTGTGCCACGTCAAATGTATCCGTAATAAACACATTCCTCAGATGAGGTTCTGTCAGGAGCTCTGAGCTGAAGAGAAGATCGGTGTTGTAAGTAACGATGTGATTGTTTAATGTTGTGATTTTGCCAAATAATCCTCAGTTTTCAGAAGGTGGTTAAAATGGACAAAATCTCTCAGTATGTGTCAGAATGTGTGTGTGTGTAACTCACTCAGGACCTTGACTTCCCATGATGCATTTTGTTCTGTGGATAGGGAATGTATGGGAGTGACACATTCACACAATGATACAAGGAATAATGCACCTCACATGACGTTCAGGATGTACATTCGCCTGCCTGCCGCCTCAGGTCATCCTCCACTTTAAGTGTGTGTGTGTGTGTGTGTGTGTGCTATTGACCCACAGAGAGATACTCCATCAATATATCACTGTCTCCTCTAATGAAACACGCACACACACGCACGGCTAGGTGTTGTGGATTCAGCAGTATCCGTAAAGCCAGAAAAGGTAATTGAAGGCATTGAGATTGAGTTCTGCTCAGCTGTGCATATATGTGTGTGTGTGTGTGTGTGTGTGGCTTAGCCTCCAGCTGCAGCTAAATTGTATTTTCATTATTAGTTAAACTGCCAAGTAAAGATTTAGTCTGTTATAATAACGGCTGAAAAATAATGATCAACACGATTTCCTGCTGGGACGAGCATCTGCTTCTTTTTCCACACACACCCCCACCCACCCACCCACCCACCCACCCCAACACACCCACACCCCCACACACACACCCCCACCCACACACCCACCCCAACACACCCACACCCCCACACACACACACCCACCCCCACCCCAACACACCCACACACACACCCAC